TTGCAGGAAAAACAGGCCCGTCAGTACAGTAAGAAAATCAAAGGTGTTTCTCTTCATGTAGGGGACAGGGTGCTGCTCACCAACAAAGGAGAGCGTGGCAAGAAGAAACTGGCTGATAGGTGGGAACCTGTGGTGTACACGGTTGTCGAGAGGAACCCAAAAACGCATATCTACAAGATCAGTGATGTCTCAGGTCAGTGCAAGGTCGTCCACAGGAACCTCCTTTTGGACGTGAATTTTCTCCCTGTCAGAGATACACTTGAGTCTCAGCCTTTGGATGACCTTTCTGTTGATTATCTCGGCAGCTGTGGAGATGAACACGGAGTCAGTGACTTTGGAATGGAGTCCTCCCATGCACAAACATCTTTGTGGGTCAATAATGATGGACATACTGAAGCAGAGGAGCTAGTTTCACAGCTGTCAGACGAGACTGACACCCACTGTCATGATGTGGACGGGATGGATGATGAACATGTTGCCCGTGACTTACCTGTCTACAATGAGTGTCTGGCTGACACATCTCCTGTTCCAGCCAGTTCTCCTGTTGTGTCTGTAGAGACTCAGACTGACACAGCCCCTGTTCTAGCCTGTTCCCCACCTGTATCTGGAGACCCACAGAGTTGATGGCCCCACTGATTTAGCCATCAACTCTGACCTACCTTCGACTTCTACTCACCATCACTTAGGACTTACCAACATACGACTCAGGCCAGATTACAGTTCAAGGTAGGGTGGTCATTAGAGCAGGGAGGGTTGTCAAAACAGTCGACAGGCTCATAGAAAACATGGTCCAGAGACCCACTACATGGGGTCTGCTACCACCACAAAAGGCTCTATCTGTAGCACAGATGTTGTAATGTCAATACGTATTTTGGATTTGTGTGGCTAGCATACTGGGTTTGCCATAGCAGCCTTTAGGGGACCAGTTATTATGAGGTGTATGCTGCAGCTTAGTATTCTAAGGTTGGAGGCCTGATCAACCTTAACTAATTTTGATCTGTTTCACAGATAGTTTCTTAAGTGATTTTCAAAGATGAGATCTGTCTGTGTGGCAGACGTACTCAGTGTTATCATAAATTCTTGGTCCTTAAATTGATCTCGGGTCTATGATGATTTTGGTGAAATTCAGGAGGGGTGAATGTAACAGGTCGTTATTGATGACATGAATTTCCCCAAAACACTAATTCTTCATTTTAAATCTAATTGTTTTACATTGCTCTCCTGCCTGTTTATTTTTGAGTCTGTGTGTCTGTGCGTAATGATGGCAGTATGTGTACACGCGACGTGCGCTCGGGCCAGAGCCGTTACAAATTTCTTCAGAGGCAGGTTTATAGTGATTAATGCTCCGTCGATAAATTAAAAGTAATTTTTTATCGTTTACATGTAATCAAACTGTGGTGCTCGGTTTATGATCATATTTATTTTATTCTGTATCAGTTTTGCAAAGTTTTGAGTAATATATATAAACTTATTAATTAGTTTCGTCGTAAATGTTAACAGCTAATGTACAGTGATAAGCTAGTGTCTCCCGCAGTAGGAAACCCCATCTCCCCCTCATGATACATTTGTCTTTTGTCAAGGGAGATGCTCGACTCTGACAACACACACACAGGACTGACATGTGCTTTTATTTGTTGAATACAGGTATGGAGGTTTCTTTTTGTGTGTCTCATTAATATACGCAAATATTAAAACTACCAATGTCAATTTATATGCTGTACATAAATGCTAAATGTAGGGATTTTCTGGTTCCATATTATTGATTTGATGTCTTATTGTATAGTTTATTTGGGTTAGTTTGCTAAATATTATTCTTATGTTGTATTTATGATGTATCTATTTATTTTAACTTTATTTTGGATAATATCATTTTTTAACAATTGTGTTTATTTTGAAGTGCTGTTGATTTTATCACATTATTTTGAATGAATGTTTAATGTGTGAATGTAAACAAGGCCAGAGAGCCGTTACAACTTTGGTCAGAGGGCAGATGCCCGACTCTGACAACACACAGGACTGATATGTGCTTTTATTTGTTGAATACAGAACCAGAATCCAAGAGCTGTCACCTGATTTATTTCTGCAACCCAGAACACAACGCAGAACACATGCTTTACACACGGGTTACATTTGCACAATTTAGAATTTATTACTATAAATATTATGTCTTATTTTTCCTCATTTTATTTAATCTATTTTACCTGATCTGATTTTACTTTATTTTGGTTGTATTGCACCGTGGGACGGAGACAAACGCAATTTCGATTCCACTGTCTGTCTGGCACATTTTAAAATTGACAATAAAGTTGACTTTCACTCTAATACAAAGATTGATTAGTAAACAAACAATACTTTCTAACATAAATATATTCATTACAATTATTAGAGTACAACAAATATAAATTGCAGAAATTAGCTCTCTAGGTAAATTAACTACTCCACATAAACTTCACCGCCTAGGTTTAAAAGTAACACTGGCGCCATCTGCTGGTTAACAAAGGGTATTACAAGACGCCGTCCATAGACTGTCAACACGTGGAATCAATTAAGCTCCCATCAGAAAACAAACAGCTCATGCTTAGTTTAAACTTACAAATGTATCAAAAACTAAACTTTGAAATGTATCGTTAAACTAAACTTTGAAATATATCGTTAAACTAAACTTTGAAATATATCGTTAAACTAAACTTTGAAATGTATCGTTAAACTACTGCAAAACATTCAACAAACAATAAATCGGATCATAAAGACAACATCACGAACATCTTTCTCCAGCTTAGCAGTACAGGTGTGTAATTATCAAACAGGTGTAATTATCAAACAAACATTAACAACAACTTACGTTCCCAAACTCTGTTGGATATCAATACAAGGACAGCAGGATCATAACAAAGTTAAATTAAACATAAACTTTGTTCCACAGTTCACAGAACTTGGAAGCTGCCACTCTCATCTCCGACGACACGCACTGTGGTCACCTGTTCAATCATTAGAGCAACACATCCGGGGACTTTGCCCAAACGATGCCGGCCCCGCCCCTTACAGGGTGAAATCATTCCACCTGAATTAATTCAACTCAATTCAATTCAAGTGTTAGTTGTTGGTTACTGCACTTAAATAAGAAATGAATCAGACTGCTGTTTCTTAGAGTAAACACACAGAAGGCTGATGAAGAGCTTTCACTTTTAAATTAAATAAATGAACTTTATTCATATAATTTTAGTAAGATGAACATTTAATCTCTAAGCTCTGTGAACAGTAATGTTTAGAAAATCATTTTACCTCTGAGCTGCAGCACAGAGCGAGGAAACACCTGCACACACCTGTACAAAGAAACAAGAAGAAAACCATCAATGTTCTTTTTCCACACCCTTTTTTTTCTCGAGTGTTCCAGGGTCGATATTACCTTTGGCGCACCTGAGCATGATGCACAGCAGCGGAAGTGACGTTGGGCGTGTCATTCCCAGGTAAAGGTCGTATCTACGTACAGAACTCATTGTGAATTAGGACACACAATAACAATAACAAAAATTAAATAAAACACCGAAAATAAATTAAAACATTCATTTTTAGATTTATAATCTACAAATGTGGATAGATACTGTTGTTTAAATGATTTGTCTATTAGTGAAATAATCCAAACACATGTTTAATCTTGTGGTAGTTATAGGTGTAGTCACTTTAATTTACAAACATTTACAAATTATTAAATCTTCTCATTTACTTTGTTTTATATTCTTAGATAAGTATAAAACATGGTTGATGGATGTAATTGCAACCCATCGCCAGCAGAGGGCAGCAGTGTAATATGAATGCATGATGCAGCAGTTCATCAGACCTGACCAGGCTGTTAACCTCCAGGTGAGCTATATTGTAATATTTACAGTCCATGGTTATAAAGTGCAGAAGTTACATTAAACTCAGCTCGATTGAAGATGGATATCTGCCTCTTATTTAACCTACCAGCTTCCTTTTTCCATCAGCAGCAGCAGCAGCGCCCTCTGCTGTCCACAAAGAGTGCTGCCATCACCTCTGCATAATGACTGTGTGTGTATGCAGCATTTTTCATGCAGGTAAAGCCGATATGTAGCCTATTACATTATATAATCATGAGGAACTTTATCACAATAAACAAATGGAGCAGAAAATACTGAAACTAAAGTACAAGTCAGTTAAAAGGTATGAATTAATGGAGTCATTTAGTAATCCCATCACGACTGTTAAGAACTAACAGACCTCTCTGTTCATGTTGGGAAACTGTATCACTGTGATCACAGCTGATTGTCCACAAATACTGAACTACTGAAAAAATAAAAGACTGCAAATGTAGCTTAAGGTTTTCACAAAGAGCTCTACATTTAAACTAATTACAGTTTCCTTAAATTTTAGAAGAAAACCACATACTAACCTTTCTTCATTTCTGAAAAACTGACATATTCCAAATTTGATAGAAACCACATACATATCTATGTCGACAGAACATATGTTGTTGTTGTTTTTTTTTAATTCATCGATTTTTTAATGATTAATGCATTTTCAGTGTATCCAACATAGGTATGTATGTGCTTTTTATCAAATTTGGTGTATCTTGGTATTTTAGTATCAGATTCTGCTGCCTGTAATAAGAGCAGTAAGCTGTCAGTCAGATCTGGTAACTATTTAGACCTTAATGTAGTTAAACTAACAAAGTCACATGGCTCTCTAGCTGTATCTGTAAATGTAAGACAAACATAAATATCTAATATCCAATGAGTGTTCATTCATTTAAAATGTTTGAAGAACAAGTTGTAACTTCACCAATGACATGTTTAAATAATACTTTTCTTCCACTTACCAGATTTCTTTGCTTCACTTTCAGCCACGTTTGGATTCTCTCCAACATTTCAATCTTCACGATATCTGAGTGAACTTTACATGCAACAAAAAGCCACTGTGTGTCGTTAAAGACCCTGGAAGAGAAAATCCAGTCAGTATCAATGAACTGCAGAAGACACGTGAACTTAACATGGTTCAATCTTTATTTCATGGTACTTCAATGATGTTAATCACTCTTTTTGTCCAAACATGAATGAATCACACAGCAGTAGTAGTAAAAAAGTAGCTAAACTGACAGCCTTATGTAACCTCCAGTCCTCTAACATGGGACAGGTGAGCTTTCTGGCAGTGCATCATGTGCTTCACAGTGCTGCTTCCACTATCCAACATGCAATAATCCTCTTCAATGAAAATCCTATCAAACAAAAGCAACAATTATTAGCTACAAATTAATGCAATAACCACATTTTCTCACATCTAGATACAAGAGGCTTTTTTTTATTTATTTTTTTTACATTCTGCAGGGATGTATCGTTTAGTGTGGCTGATGTTGCATCTGCAAAATCAGCAGCTTCTTTCACTTTCAACCCATTTGAAGTGGCACTTTCATGTCTCTTCATTTGCTAGTATACTCTCTGCTCCATAAAAAGTTGCTGCCGCCACCCACCAGGAAAATAAAACTACAGGAGCAAGTTTAAGGTAATGTAATATTAGACGGGGGCGATGAGTGTGAGATTTATCTCAAAGCTAAACAGATGGAAGGAACACATCAGAAGATCTTAATGAAACACACACGCCTGCACACCTCGCGTGTAAAGCTAACGACAGAGCTATGGACAATAGCATGTGATGCTAACAGAAACTATTGTTAAGAGGTTTCCTCCTCTTCATTAAAAAAAGCACCCACACCCTGTAATTTAAACCCCTCACCACAGTTTCCACCACACAGAGACGCGTCACAGGAAACCTTTTTCTATTCAATCTAATTTCAGATTTCTTTTTCGGTTCTGTCAGTCATTTTGTTAGATCTTCTCTCTCACACACACACACACACACACACACACACACACAGTGCACTCCTAAAACATCAAGTGAGTGTGAGTTGAATGTGTGAAAGCATTTTTCATTCCTATTTTATCGATCAGCCCCGATGTCAAATTCTGCAACAAGTCAGGATGATCTGATGTGAGGACGCAGCAGCAACGAGCGGCTCGGGATGGACGAGTGAGAAACTGGTGAAATCTTCATACGTGAAGAGAGGCTGTTACTCTTATTTTGTTGTCTTTGATACTTTGGTTGATCTTCTGTTAGGGGCATGTGTGGGATACAGGAGCAGGATGTCCTGAAATGTTTTCCTGTTATTGTCAGGGCCTAAAGATTTACTAAGCATTTAAACCAGTCATTTTCTTTCTTTCATTTTTTAAGGTAGCAGGAAAAATATCATTGGGGCACCTCTAGATCCCACACAAAACGCTTCAAACAGGCATGAAGCACAGGTGACACACTAAAAAACAAACAAATGCTCCCGATACAACAGGAAACTGATGAGCGGGCCGACACAGCCCTGAGTCACAGGCTAAGACACAGTGCTTCAAATTGGCAGACTTTTCTTTCTGAATACTAGTAAACCCTGTTTCCTTTCCTTTTTGTTTTAAACAGACATCATACCATGGTTGGTGGAGTTGAAGCCCTCGTTTCCAGAGAGCTATGGGTGTATTTTACATTCAGAAATAATAATAAAAAAAAGCCTTGAGTACTTTTGCTCCATTAAATGTCAAACAGTTATTTTCAACACTACAATCCAAACACAGACAGACAGGCAGAGTAGAAAACTGAAAGAACCCCAGAATAACACTGTTAGACGTCTTTACAGAAACAACACATCAGGTCTCCTCACTTTGAATCATGTTTCAGTGGAGACAAATGTGAGCAAGGTGGGCTTTGACTTGACTACACGTCCACCACCACAGAACAGCTGACATCAAACAGCAGTGAAGAGTAACAGGGAGCTGCAGCGCCGACATGGCAGGCTCAAGATGTGAAAGAGCACCTGCCAGCCGTGTGTAAACTCTACAGCTGAATCTCACACACACACACACACACACACACACACACACACACACACACACACACACACACACACACACACATGTAGCACCCTAGCAAAAAATCAAAAACAGTCTGAAGAATTAAACTGAAAGTCGCCAAAAGTCGTTTTCCTTTTTTCGGTCCCACATTCTTCACGAGGGGACGAGACTTGTCAGAATGATGCTGCATTCATGTCATGTGGGAATAACCAACATCTCAATCACGTTGTTTGTTGTGTACAGTCTTCATTTGCTTCTGACACACTTAATCATGATATTTTTCTTTTTTACAAGATAACTATTCAACCAAGAATCCAGTATAGTCTCCTCCCTCTCATTACTCTACAACTCTAACATTAGTATGCATTATTTTGTACACTGCTAAACACATATTTCCATCAGTTTAATACCCAAACCTCAATTTACACGCTGATGGCTAAACTGAACTCTATGTTTCCACTTGGAATTTTGTTTTTCCTCTCTTTCCCACTGAACATGAATGCAGCACGTTTTCTCTCCGTCTTATGAAATGCTCGTCTACAGGACATCGCAGCACCCTCAGGCGGCTTCCAAAAGTCCCCAAACCTCCCTCATAGCTCTGAGAGCGTGTTCAGCTCTCGTCAAATCACTTCAGGATGAAATGTTACAGCCGTCACGATGGATGCGTCCTCTTTCTGGGTTGTCGCTCACTGCTCCACGCCGGCTGTGTAGTCGGGACGTCGCGTCTGGATGATCTTGGGACGAGGCGAGCGGGGTTTGTCGTCTTGGTCGCTGTCGTCCGGGGCCGAGCTGTCGCCGCGCTCATCCTCACAGACGTGGACGACCACGCTCGGGGTGGTGGGTGTGGCAGTGTGGAGCTCGTACTTTTCCCCTGAGACACACATACAGGACGTTCAGTTCCATAATGTTTTTAACACCATGAAGTCAATGATGCTGCAGAACTGTTATATCGTTTAGTGTGTGCATGTTTAGCGTAACAAGGACTTATTTTCAGATTACATTTAAAAAGATTTTTAAACTCCTGCAGTCTCAGCTCTGGGCTTCAATGTTTGCATCATGATGTTAATGTTTAAGCAGTTTATTTTAAGCCCAATAAATACCACATCACATTACTACTCACAAGCAAACTATGGGTACCTTTCGGCCACTTGGAAAGGTCAATCAAAAAATGAATATCCACATTTAGCTACCACTCGAACACTAACACTAACACACCTCCTAAGATTGTCTTATTGTTGGTAAATCTGGACTTGGTTGCCATAGAGAAAACATCAGATCAGTCCTGCTATCATTGAAGAAAGAAAAAGAAAAGCTAAAGCGACACTAAGACAAATGCATGCAAAGGAAACACCAAGATAAAGTGATCTGTGTCATATTGTGTTTCATACCTGGTCCTAGCTTTGAGATGGCACACAGCAGGTCGTAGTTGACGACTGGCTTTGCGTCCAGAGATTGTTCCCAGCCAACCGGAGGGGAGGCAGGGGGCGAGATCAGGAACTGCTTGTCGGGTTTGGGGGGCTCCAGACGAGGACTCCCTATGTGCACAGACTGAAGAGAGACACGTGTGAGTCAGTAAGAAGGAAGAGGAGATCAATTACAAATCAAGAAAGAAACCATTCAAAAATATGGAACCCAACATGAACAACATTAAAAGGACCTCAGTTAAGTTTCATGGAAGCTGATTTTCATCTCTGTCACTGAAAAATGACTGCAGTGCAGGCTTATCTAAGAGCTCACTTTTGATCTAAATAAACAGAGACAACAGGCAGGGACAGCTTATAGATAAAAACATGAGGAGGTTAGTGAGCTTCATGTCTAGTCCAATGCTAGTGAACTGTGTCTGCTGCTCGTCTGTACCTCCTAACTACAAAAGACACAAGAACGATGCTAGAACCTGAGTGTAAGTGGACATGATGCATGTTAGAGCATTACCTGGGCAAAGTAAAGTCTCATCTCTTTGCCGTTAAAGTCGGTCTTGTGGAGTCGGAGTCTGGCCTCGGCTGCAGCCAGAGCGTCACTGAAGCTGATCCTGACTCGCCGGAACGACTTGAAGTACTGGAACTGCACCTCGGGATCGAAGGAGCGAAACAAGGCTTCGAAACTGGCCTGGAAAGACAGAGAGGGAGGAGGGAGAATAAAGAGGCTGTAATGATGAGGAAAATGAGAGCATCTTCTGCACCATCTCCTCCACTTCTGCTCAATTTGTTCCCTTTGACTTCTTTTTCTCTTCTTATCTATAAATACTAAACACTGCGGCTCAGAGGAAGACATAAATACCGCTATGAGACGCTATGAATAAAACCTGTAAAAATAGCTTCTATTACCGAACACTATATCTTTGCCTCCTCCTCTCTCCAGGGAGCCTGTGTGTGTGTGTGTGTGTGTGTCTGCGTCACAGAGGCAGAGCTGTGGCCTCAATTTTAAATGACCAATTACTGTTCCAGAAGCTAATTAAGTGAGAAAAATGAAGTAGACAGCTGACCTTGGCTACCAAATCGAAAAAAAGGACAAACACACGTAGAGTGATGGCAGACAAGATTCCATCAATTTAGACACACTTGAGACTGTGAAGATGTGGAGTCCATGTAATTACACCCACACCTCGAGGCAGCAGCTATTTGAAAACACACATTCAGATGTTGGATGATATGGTTGCCCTTTATGAAGCTGCTGCAAGACCCAGATCTTTCAGTCTATTCAATTTGTTGAATAGCTTGTTAGGTCAGCGTGTACGAAACAAGACAGAATGAGGAGCTGCTGCTGCCGACCCCAGTGGACGCTGATGACGATGCTGAAGTGCGGCAGAGCCGAGCCCAGTACCCTGCTGGTGTTCTCTTCACTTCAGCTGCTGTGACGCAAAGAGCAAAACAGCACGTCTCATCAAAGTAGTTCAAAAAAAGGTTAATGCAGCTAAAAGCAACTTTTTGTAGAAAAAGCTCGGAGCCAGATGAGAAGATAAACTCCTGCAGTCTGAAGGTTTGACCCCGTATGACCAGCATCATTATCTACTAAATCAGGTCCTTGGTAGTATTTAATGTCATTGTCCTTCATTTCCAGGTAAGAACTAGACCTGCCTCCATTATTACTTTTGAGATTAGATGATTATTGAGATTATTAGAAAAGAACAATCTTACAAACATTCAGCAGCTTCACACTTCACACTGACAAACATCCCGAACAGCAGCAGCTCATATCAGCGTGTCTTCACCAAACTGTTTGATTTAAGGACCGTCTGTCTGCAGCCACGTAACATGAATCCAGAACTCTTTTCAATCCAAGACCAAACATGGTGGATGATTTCTAATAAGGCAATTCCTACAGTCACCATCGTTTTAACATTTTGATAAAAACAGCATTTTACAAGTCATCCCTGCCTTCTGCAGTGAGCAGACAGAGTTTTGTAACCACCGGGCTGCACTGCAGCACAGGAGCAAACAAAAGCCTTGGACGTTTTCATTCAGAAAACCAATAGAAGGAGGAATATTCAGCACCGCCTGAGGAAGTTCCTACCAACTCACAACACAGAACACATACAGACCTACATCTTTGTTGTGATGTCAGGTAATCATGGAAAAAAGAAACCCTTGTTGTCTTCATTACCAGAATCTGTGAGAAGACAATATACTAACGTCAAAGTCCTCAGACATGACTCTTCTAAAACTCAGAGAGAGTGTAAGGATGGCTGTCAGATCTACATACCATCTGTACAAACTCATGTGATCAGTACAAATGTACCTCAAATCCAGCTTGAGAAGACAAGAGCTTTACAAATACACACACAGATATGTGTTTGTGTCATAAATATACCACAACTTAATCCCACTGTTGCATCTTCTTATTTAACCCTCCAAACCCATTTCTTTGTCAAGCTCCTTGTCTCAACCCCAAGCTAACATAACACCTATGACATCACTATGACATCATCAAGCTTATCTTAGATTCATTTCCTTCTATACCTCCAGAAGCTCTGTGGATTTGTTCAAAATATAAGATCACTATTCAGCCATCTTCTGACAAAAACTGACAGAAGTGGAATCGTGGTTTGAAAGGTGAGAGATCCTGGTTTTGCAGAAGGTGTTCTCGAGTCTGAGCGCCCCCTTACCTGAGCCTCTGGTCGGTTGAACACTTCCTGGTTGGTCACTGACGCCACCAGGCAGAAGCGGTTACACTTTGTGGTCTTGATGTGCATGATGGGCGATCCGGGAAGCCGAAACCTTTTCCACCTGAAGCCCGAGGTCAACGTGCACCGTGACGCTGAAACTGCCTTCAGCGGTGGCAAGGATGAAGATGGTGATGACGATGAAGAGGAAGGGGGGATTCGGGGGGATCGGAGGAGCGTTGCCTTCCCCAGGGTGACAGCTGAGAAGGGTTTGATAGATGCTCCTTGACAGGAAACAGGTCAGCTCTTTCTTTGTGGTGCAGGCGTCTTCCACGTGGGTCTTCTTTTGTTAGGCGTTAGTCCACTGCGTTCAAGTCCCCTCAGTCAGCACATTACCTCCTAACCCACATTCCAAGGTTATCTAGTCTGGATCTCACTTGCAGCGTTTAACGATTCGCTGGTTATTCCTCTGCTTCAGCAAGCACAACAGTTTTCTTCCGCAAGTCTGTGCAGATGAGCCGGCTCTGCAGCAGCCTTCAAATTGAAAGAATTTTCCAGAAATGTGGGTGTGTAGCGATAAAAAAAAAATGTCATTCAACCTCTTCTGAGCTGTCTCTGTCTCCCCTCTCACTCTTTCTCCTGCTGCTCCACGGCTGCTTAAAAGAGCCCCTGCCAGCCGATGACGCATTACCCACAATCCCCCTCCCTCTCCCTCTCCTGGTCTCATTCATTCGTTCATTCACTGCAAGCCAATCAGCTGTGCAAGAGGGAGGGACTATTTCTTTCCTTCTTTCTCTCCACTGACTGATACTGGCCAATGCTGACTAATCAGACAGAAAGAAGGGCAAAGAGAGAGAGAGAGAGTGAGAGAGAGACACTGGAAAATAATGACCTAACCGCTGAACAAACTGACGCATTAATCGGCTTTTTGTTGCATTTCAACTCGAGACAAAAAAAGCCTTTGTCGAGTGGAAAAAGTGTGACAATGGGCCTTTCACCTCTTTGATTTAACTCACATACCAAAGAGGTATCACCTGACTCCACAGTGCACAGAGCAAGACGTGGAAAACACATGTCAGTCCTAGTAAATATGGATGAAGCTGAGAGACAAAAAGAGAGAGAGAGAGAGAGAGAGAGAGGGAGGACAGCTGACAGACAGAGCGAGAGGCAGGAATAGAAAACGAGTGAAAGAGTGGAAAGAGAAAGAGACAGCTACGAAGAATGTGGGATGGAGGGATGAAGGGATAAAAAACAGGAGGTGGTGGGAGAGAGGTGAGGCTCATGGAAAGTATGCAGTTTGATAACATGCTTTTATGAGGTATAAATAGCAGAGAGCTTGAAGTGGAGGGGAAGTGTGCGAGTGTGTGCAGCCTGCAGTCGGAAAAACAAGACCAGACTGTGCAGCCAATTCTCAAACATTTGCACCTGTGTGTGTGTGTGTGTGTGTGTGTGTGTGTGTGTGTGTGTGTGTGTGTACTTAAACACTTCTTAGTTAGATGTGGACGATCTTGTTGTGTTGCATTAAATCCAGCTTTTATTTTTCCAACAAAAACAGGAAGCAGCGCATCATTCGACTTGCTGAGCCGACAGAATGTTCTCATGACCACAAAAAGCTTTTATGCTCGTTATTAGCGGAACATTAAGCAATGACTATTACGCAATCCTGGACAGAAAGCTAGCCAACTGCACACTTAACAGACAGCAAGTCCCTTGCATGTCGCCTACCATTCTCTAAAAGACTTGGAAATTGGGAAACAACAAAAGTTTATAGTCTGAGATCGTCTCACGTCTCAAGATATTACAGTTATCCTCTTAAGCTTCATTTCTATCGCCACTCCAAGCCGGATATTTACCACCCTGTAACGCCTCGCCTTCAATGTAAATGTCACAGCAGCATAATGGTCATCCCACCGCTTTGACGCCGTCTGACGTAGTCACTGAGGCATTACAGGGGGAAAGACTCGATGACTGTAAAAAAGATGGGACGGCTTTATCATCGTCTAACCCTTAATGACTTCAGGAGCACCTCACAACGTCAGCATGACTCTCATGATTTTATCACGATATGGAATGTAATCTTCCACAGTGAAATAGCTTGGTGGGTGTGTGTCCTCAACTAAATTTGAATATTTTCCCATTATTTTAACATAGATTTGAATACACTAAGGACTTGTGTCAAGTTTGCAGAATACCCTTTTATCAAAAAGTTTATATGCTTGAGTGCATTTCAAGAGTCTCCATGTGATTTTTCCGTTCTACTAGAGTGCATAGCAACAAACAAATAACAAAAATCACCTAAACTCCAACAGACTCAATTGCTATAAAATAACCAGCTGTTTTCCACAAGTATTACATTTCAACAATCAGGTCAGGTGATAACTAAACGAACTCCGAACAACGAACAATGAGGGAGAAAGCGATCTCTCAGTGAAGGCCACAATGTGCTGCTTGGGAAGGTTTTGGGTGAAGAATTGAAAATGATGGATTTCATGTTTGTAATTAGATTTGATTTTAGGAATCGCTGCTTTAGGGCGTGGCTACCTGTGATTCACAAGACTCCACCATCCGGTCTACATGGCAACAGTTAAAATGCCATGATTGAGGCCTCAAAGAATTGAATGTGCAGACACTTTAAGGAGCCCGTTCAGGATCTGTGCAGGGCCGTGTGGCTGTGAGGTGACAGGTGTATTAAGGCCATGTACATGCAGTGACATCTGGCTGGTGGCCTGTTTGGAACGGGCTCATAATAAACTATTAGACCGACATGTCGACATACTGTACATGTCATCTGTGGCTGGATCCGTGCAGGTGTTAATGCACAGTAAAATTACTAATAGCACTGTCCAGCATGCTGTATGGAAAATGTGTGTGTGTGGAAAATAAAGTGGTGCAAAGTTGGTGAGCCTCCCAACAGTGAAGCTGATGCTCTCATGCAAGTGTTGTTTGTTGATGTTAAACATTACCGTGTGAGTCTGTGTGTGTAGGTGCTAATCATCTCCAGACTTTA